TTAAAATTTTATATCATAGTATAAATTTAATGGGGCACCTAGGTAGTACAGTAGATAGAGCATTGAGCTTGGAGTTAGATCTGAGTCCAAATCCAGCCTGAGATATTTATTGGCTGTGTGACCCTGGGCAAGTCACTTACCCTCTATTTGCCTCAGTTACTCGTCTGTAAAATGAGCTGGAGAAGTAATTGGCAAACCACTCCAGTATCTTTGCCAAGAAAACCCCTTTGGGGTCATGTAGAGGCAGGCAGAACTGAATGACAACAAATAAATTTAAAAATATTATTTATCAACATTTGAAATGTTATCATGAAAAATTTAAAAAAACCATAATATGCCACCATTAGCAGTTTTCACATATGTTTTCATTTTCTTGATTCCAATTCAAAGTACTCTTTAAAATGACCTACTGGTGTCTACAGATTAATTCATGGCAACATGAAAAATGAATAATCCAGAGAAGGTAGACATTATGTAGAGCTCCTCTACTGACATCACTGAGTTGGGTTAGAAAAATTACAAAACTTGTACATTTACCAATCTCCCCATCTGCCTACCATTAATTTCATGTATAGATCAAAAGAAAATATTTGTCAAGTACTTCAAATCTTCTCACTCACAATGCACTCACAAACTGATTTTTTTCCCAGAGAAACACAACTATAATTATTATTTAAGGTTCACTTTAAATACTCAGGCTAAAGGCAACCCTTAAAAATCATTCCAGTTTAGTAATTTATTCCACAGTGTCTATGAAATTTGTGGTGACCTTGACTGGATAATTATTTAACCACTCTCTTTTAGGAATCTTGTTTTATCTTCAGGCAAAAAGATATCTATTTCTTAAAAAAACCAGATGAGGTATCACATAAGCCTTGATCATCCAAATACAAAGTGTGTTCTAAGGACACAATAACATTGTAATCCCCTTTAGGTATAATTTCTCTTTAATTATGATGCAAAAAAAAAATACTTCGAATGCACCACCTGTAATCTAAATTCCCTTCAAAGGATCATGAGTATAGAGATACTTAAGAATGATATAACATTTATATTTCAAAACATCATCATCTTTGTTTAATGGATAAATATTAACTTTAATCAGTGTGCTCTTTATCTTTATTTTTTATCCATTTACAATCAGATTTTCATGCAAAGATCATCATAAAGTGTTCTGAAAATTCAACTGGGAAAAACTTTATTTTGCATATACCAAGACATGCCATATGTCATGTCAAACATCAGTGGAAGAATTTAGAAGCTTTACAGAAAAGGGCTAATATACAAGAACTTTTATGTATGTTGTCTGCCTAGATACAAGCAAAATTCAATTATGAAAGTTAAAAACTATCTTCATCCAACCATGTATTGTTTTATTGTCACATAAAGATTTTGTTATTTTCAATAAAGTCACTGATGAAAAACTTCAAGGATTAGTCTAGTGCATGAAAGGTTGTCTTCAACAACCTCTCCTCCTTTTAAGGTCAAGTCATCTGATTATTCCACCCTTTCTTTATCCTATTTGCTGTTATTCTCCCATCTTTCTCAGTGACTTTCACACCTGATTTACAATCTAGTCTCTGGCTCCACTTTCTTCCCTTCTTACTCTTCATACTATAGTCAGTCATTTCAGTGATATGTTCCCCTCTGCCCTTTAACCCTTTCTACCTTTGACCTTACTTGTCTTTTTTTTAACATTTTGATTTCCTACTCTGAATGACTCACAACCTTTTCCTTTTCTACTCCTAAGTAATATAAGTTTAATAAACATGCTTATGGATCTTCTACAAATTTATACTATCCAGAATTATCTTTAACAAGACCTTTAATGCTACATGATAACACTTTTATTCATCTCTTTTTGATGTCTTATTAGGGTATCCAAAGGGATTGCCCTTTCTTTCTCCTTAAGTCCCTAACTATACTTACCTCTCAGCAGATAACCTCACCTCTTATTTTATGTAGAAGAATAAGGTAATCCAAAGTAAGATTTTTGATTTCCATATCTTAAAACCTTTTGTCTTCTCCTATTCTCTGTTAGCCCTCTGAAAGGAATTATGTGGACTTCTGACTTACCAAAGCTAACCCTTCCCCATGTGTCCTTGATAAGACTCCACCCCCTCCCATCTACTCTAGAACCTCACTGTACTGATAAACTCCCCCAATATCCTCAACCACCATCTTCAATCTCTCTCTCTCTCTCTCTCTCTCTCTCTCTCTCTCTCTCTCTCTCT